TTTCACTAGTTTATTTAAGGAGTTATTTGCAAGCTCCACTAAAATCTCTTTCAAGCACAAGTTGTAGGAAGGGTGTTTTTTTTTTTTTGGTGCCTCAATGATGCTATGTTATCCTGAGCATCCAAAGGACTCCTCAGGGAAGAGAAGTCCCATCAGACTAAGAAGAAACTGCTAACTTTAATGATACTTAATGATAATCACACCCCTCATAAGTGTGGTGGCCATCCTCCAAGATGGCCCCCAGTGATTGCTGGACCTCCCAGGATCATGCCCTTGTGCAACCTCCTCCCACACTGAATGGGGCCCATCTGTGTAATCAGTAGGATACTGCAAAAATGACAGAGTGTGACTCCTCAGATTAGGTCATAAAAAACATGGCAGTTTCTATCTTCCTCTCTCTTAGGTCACTCACTGGGCGGGCGGTGGGGGGAGGGCAGTGGGTGGGAAGCAACTGCCATGTTGTAAGGACATTCAACAGTCCTATGGAGAAGTTCCCATGTCAAGCACCTGAAGTCTTCTTCCAACAGCCATGAGTGCTCTATTTTGGAAGTGAATCTTCCAGCCCCTATTGAGCTTTCGGATGACCTCAGCCCTGGCCAATGTCATGACTTAAGCCTCATGAGAGACCTTGAGCCAGAATTACTCAATGAAGCTTTTCTGAATTCCTGAACGATAGAAGGTTTGAAATAATAGATCTCTGTTGTTGTAAGTCACCAAGTTTTTGGCTAATTTATTAAACAGCAATAGATAGCTGTTACATTTTGTTTAAAAAAAAAAGTTAGTGGGAAATCCACTGGATTGGGAGGGGACTGGTCTACTGGAATTAGATCTAAACATAGTCACGTTTTTCACGTCATTCTCTAGTGGCTAACACTGTCACTTCAAGAGAGTCTCAGGGGACACTGCAGCCACATTTTTTTTTTTTTTGAGACAGTCTCGCTCGGTCACCCTGGCTGGAGTGTAGTGGCATGATCTCAGCTCACTGCAACCTCTGCCTCCCAAGTTTAGGCAATTCTCCTGCCTCATCCTCCCGAGGAGCTGGGATTACAGGCTCCCCCACCACACCCAGATAATTATTGTATTTTTAGTAGAGACAGGGTTTTGCCATATTGGCCAAGGTAGTCTCGAACTCCTGACCTCAAGCGATCCGCCTGCCTGGCCTCCCAAAGTGTTAGGATTATAGGCGTAAGCCACTGAGCCTGGCCTGGAGGGAGATGAGGAGGCAGAGAAGGAGAACTCAAGTCATTGTCTAAGGCTTTCAAATAGGAAAGCATCATGGTGGTGGCTAACAGCCTTTTGTGGGGCAACATGAGGTCACACCCCAGGGATAAGAAGCAGCCCGTACTTTAGCGATGCATTCTATAGCTATGAATTATCACCAATACAGTAACAATAGTGACTACTGAGCACTCTACATGCCTAGACTTCATACTGACTTTCAGTGCTTTACTGCCATTAACCCAATGACTTGATGCATCGGGCAGAGCACATCTGTTGCGGGTGACAAACCCCAACTCAAACCAGCTTATGCCAAAATGGGCATTTATGGGTTCCTTAACTGAGAGATTCAAGGGAGTATTCTTGGCTTCAGGAACTACCAAATCCAGGGTCTCAAACAAGGTTTCTCAAACGGGATTCTCTCTCTCTCCCTCTCCTCCCCCATCCCCACCAATCCCCCTCTTTCTGTTTTTTTTTTTTTTTTTTTTTCCAGGAAAATTTGATACCAGTAGCTCAAATCTGTGCTCTTACAACTCATAATATAAAAGCAAGATACTCTATCTTCCAGCAGCCCCTATCATATCTCATTGAGGGACTCTGATCAGGCCACTCCCTTAAATCAGTTACTGTGGATGGGACGTGGCGCACAATGATTTTCTGGGCCTAGATCACGTGCTCACTCCCTTCACCCAACAGGGGTTGGGGGAACAGGGGTTGCCAGTCCCAGCAGACACACATGGGATGGTCATGTCCTAATTGAAAAAGGGATGACCAGCAGAGAGAAATAACACAGATTCATTAGTGTTAATATCCCCATTTTATAGAAAAGGTAACTGAGATTAGAGAAACTGCAAACCTGCCCAAGATCTCCTAACAAATCAAATCTGTCTGTCTCCAGTTCAAAGGTCTCATCAGTACTCAGTGATGCTTCCTCCACCTGCTAATCTCATAGGATCCTCTAACCCACGCAGGAAATTTATAGGCAGGAGTATCTCCCTTTCCAAAAGCCAGAACAATAACCTGGCACCCTCAATCCAGACCCTGGCACCAATGCCACATCTGACCCAGCACACCCAGGTCACCCAAGGAGCCTCCCATCCCGACCCAGACTGCAGCAAGAGCCAAGCTGGAGCTTAGGAATGCAGCACCGATTATCCCCACCCACCTCCATCGGCAGGTGAACCTCTGCTATGGCATTCTTTTGCTTTTGGAGTGAAGACCCAAACTCTTACCTCGGGTAAGGGTCCTGAACATCTGGCCCCTGTTCACCCCTCTGGCCTCTCCTTCTCCATTCTCTGTCTCAGTAACACTGTTCTTATATTCGATGAAGGTGCTTTGCTTCCTCTCACCCTAGGACCTTTGCATATTCTGTTCCTTCTGCTTGGAATGCTCTTTCCTCTGATCTTCACCTAGAAAACCCACCCTTCAGGCCAGGTGCAGTGGCTCACACCTGTAATCCCAACACACTGGGAGGCCGAGGCAGGCAGATCACTTGAGGTCAGCAGTTCGAGACCAGCCTGGTCAATATGGTGAAACCCCATTTCTTCTAAAAATACACAAATCAGCCAGGCGTGGTGGTGGGTGCCTGTAGTCTCAGCTACTTGGGAGACTGAGGTGGGAGAATCACTTGAACCTGAGAGGTGGAGGTTGCAGTGAGGCAAGAACATGCCACTGCATTCCAACCTGGGTGACAGAGCAAGATTCCATCCCCCCAGGCCCCCCAAAAAAGAAAAGCAAACTCATCCTTCAAATCAGCTCCTCGAGGAACCCTCCACACCTCCACAGTCGGGGTCAGTGTCTCTGTAGACCATTGTGGAAACTCAAAGCATTTGGTGAGGTTATGAGAATACATTTATGTGGAATTATCTGGTGAAAACATGTGTCTCCCAATAGATGTAAGATCATCAGAGCAGGGATCATACCCATGTTTCTAGTCCCCATTCCTAGCAGTTAGCCCAGGACCTGCCCCAGAATAAACCCTCAAAAACTTTTATTAAATAAATTAAAGGAAGAGAGACAGGGAAGGAAGGAGGGAGGGAGGGAGGGAGAGAGGGGCTTTCTGTGCCTCAATTAAAGACTCCATGTAGTAAACCACAAGTATTTCAAAGATGTCGATGGACCTCTTAAACTAGGATGAACATGAAGAAAATAAAACCATTACAAGCATTAGAGGATTTATTGGCTGAGCCTGGCTACTTTTCGTATTATTCCCTGTTTTCCTTTTACTGGAACCAGAGGACGAAAGTCCAGGGAGTAGGGGGAGACAGGAAGTGACGGAAAAGGAAAAAAAAGGAAGGAAAAAGAGAAGGAAAGACAGGAAGAATAAAATAGAGAGAGGGAAGAGGGTACATGAAGTATAGGAAGAAGAGTTCAAGAAGGGTGGGAGGAACCCATCTAAGCCTGATAATTCTCAACGAAGAGGGAAAGTAAACAATGCAGGATCATTCTGCAAGCCCACACTGAAACACACAAACCCCACTACGCCCAGGAGCTGGCATGGTATGGGCCCATGACAGGCCATTAGATGGAAGCTAGACAGAAAATACGATCCATGGAATTAAAGGCCTTAGAAGGAGGCTTGCTCTGAAGCAAAAAGAAGGAAACAAAGATCAGTGCTGACATGGGGAGGGAGTAGAAAGAGTGGGGAATGTGTCACGCCCTTCCTCTGCCAGGAGACCTCTGTCTTCCCCTGTGGCTACAATGACAATATGAAGGGATGTTTATTGCTAACACAGCAAAATGTGGTCCAGTGGCCAGGAGTTTCCCTGGCATGATTAATTCATGTTCTGAGCAAATGAACAAGAGTTTGCATTGTTGGAGGGGTTGTGGCACACATAAGGTGGTGGGGTGGAAGTGCGGGGATGTGGCTGCTGGTGTCAGCAGTCGCTGGAGGCATGCACAGATGCTGCACACTGATGTAGTCCCTGCAAAATCCCCACCTCCCAACTCGGTTCTGGGAGCCCGGGGGAATGCAATGTTGACCTTGGTTTTACTGCAAAGAATAGCAAGCATGTGTATTGTCTCTTGGGAATGCAGACGGCCTCAAGCCAGCATCTCAGATGCTGTTTTTTAAGCAAGGAGGAGTTTACAAAAAGATAGGAATACAAGCAAACACAATACAAAGGATGACTGCAAAAAGGAGGGGAGAATTGCTAAGGTAGCAACTTAGGGGGTGACATGCCAGGTGAAATGTGTGAGGGGAAATCAAGTAAACCTCCTCCACCAACTCCACTCCTATGCCCCCATGCCTAGGCAGTTTGCTCCTGCTGGGACCATCCATTCAGTGCTAGAACTCACACAACCCTTTCTGACAGGCATACATGGATAATTTACTGACTGATGTAATTGAAAAGCCCAAGGATTAAACGGCATCAGGCATGGCTGGATCCAGGAGCTCATGAAGTGCCATCAAGACTGTTTTTCTCTCTTTGTCTCTTGGATCTGTTTCCGTCCGTGCTGGCAGAATGTCTCCAGTCCTGATAGGGGTGGTGGCAGCCATCCCTGCCTAAGGGGTGCTTCTCTTTCCCAATAGTTTCCAAAAAATCTCACGCCTGAGTCTTATTGGCCAGGGTTCAGACATGTGCCATTCCCAGAGCCAGGGATAAGGAGTCAGTCCCAGCCAGATCGAGGTGTTAATAGCCAAGTGATGACAAATGGCTATTGTGCAGACAAAAACAACAGATGTAACCACAGAAGCTGTGTGGATAGCCACAAGATAATAGCACCCCTCCCCCACGAATTTACGCAGATGCTGGTTTCTAGGGAGGGATGCTGAGGTCAACACACACATTGGTTATTTTCTGAAACAGAGAGAGCTTGGTGGAAAACATCCCTCTCCTGGCTGGTCTTTGGGAGTTTTCTTGGCAAATCCATTCTGAATCTCCAGAATTAGCAGACCTAGAAGGAGGCATGTGAAGACTTTGCTGGAATGCTGTTCATTCATTCATCACTCTCTCACCTCCTTCTTCTTCTTCAACTCTGCCATCTGCCTTCTTCCCATATCTCGCAGGGGGAACTGTCCTTATGAAAATTGTCAATGACTCCTCTCTTGTGGATCCTATGGAATTTTGTTCCTTTCCTTCCTGGGTCTCTCAGGAGAAGCTTCTGGAAACGTGCCTTACCCATGGCTCTGCTCCCACTCTTCCCATCCTCCCACGGTGAGTGCATTTACTCCTGTGCCTTCAGTTTCCATCTCTGTATTGGGTCCCAGTCCAAATTTATAGCCAGGACCACTCTTTGAGTTTTGGTCTCCTGAATCCAAATGCCTACTAGAACCTTTACTCTTGGATGTCTCCCTGGCATCTGGAATTAAACATGTCTAAAGCACTGAACTCCTCAGCCCCGTTTCCAAGCTTGCATCTCCTTCAGAGTTCCCTGCTGGATGCCTAGGACCACCGTCCACTTGCTTACCTGAACCAGAGACTGAGGACAGACAGGCCCAGCCCCCGCCTCAGCCCTACATCCATTTAGTCACTAAATCCTCCTTGGAAATATCCCCCCACTTCCTGCCAGCTCCACTGCCCTCTAATGTGGCTCTGGCATCTGGATCTCTGCCAGCAATGTCCTAACCAGCCTCCCACTTCCCATGATATCCACACCCCCACCCCACATCCTACCACCCACCCTGCAGTCAGATCCTTCCAACACAAATGTGACCGTGCCACTTCCTTAGTGGCTTCCCACCACTCTGAGGGATGAGTCAAACTCCTCCAGGTGACATTTCAGTCCTCCTTATAACCCAGGACCTGCCTGCCCCTCTAACCTACTGACTTTTTGCTACTCATCTCTCAAATCTCTCAAACTCTGTGCCCATCATGCTGAACAGCTTGACTCCTACCTTTGCACAGGCTATTCCCTCTGGTTGGCGTGCTCTTCCTCCTGCCTCTTCATTTGGCTTCCCTTTCTCATCCTCCAGGGCTCCTCTTATGTATAATACCCTCCAGGACAACTTCTCTAAAAAAGCTAAGTATCTCTCCCAATCAATCAGCTCTCTAGGGAAGATGGTAGTGGTGTTCAAGTTCTGTTCTTTTTTTTTTTTTTTTCGAGATGGAACCTTGTTCTGTCACCCAGGCTGGAGTGCAGTGGCATGATCTTGGCTCACTGTAACCTCTGCCTCCCGGGTTCAAGCAATTCTCCTGCCTCGGCCTCCTTAGTAGCTGGACTACAGGCGCCTGCCACCACGCCTGGATAGTTTTTGTATTTTTAGTAGAGATAATATTTCTCCATGCTGGCCAGGCTGATCTCAAACTCCTGGCCTCAAATGATCCATCTTCCTCAGCCTCCCAAAGTGCTGGGATTACATGAATGAGCCACCGCACCCGGTCATCAAGTTCTTGATGAATAGGAAAGTCTACTGTGAAGAGGAGAGGGAAATATTTGAGTATATTTTTAGCCAATGAAGACTTTCTTTTTGATATGTACTTTCCAAACAAAAATGTATTAACTTCTTACTCTGAGTCAGCGGCACCTGTGCTGGACACAGGCATGCCAGCAAACAAGACAGACACACGCCTTGCCTTTTAGGAAATTATAATCCAATAGGAAAGACAGATACTAAATGAACAATTCAGCCAAACTTAATGGGTACTAGCCCTAACTCTCTTGTGGCAGATTGTATTTTCCAAAGATGGCTTCAATATGCTCTCTTTCAATGTGACTAACACTATTCCATTGAGACGCAGGGTCTGCATTCCCTGTCCTTGAAACTTGTTGGACTGCTATGACCAACAGAATGTTGTGGAAGTGACACTGAGTGACTTTAATGGAAGTTTCCACCAATCTTTATTTCGCTCTCTCTCTCTTTTTCTCAGGACTCTCCCCCTTGGAATCCAGTCACTATGTTGTGAGGAAGCCCAGACCACATGGAGAGGCCACATATAGAGGTTCTAGCCAACGACTCCAGCTAAAGCCTCAGTCAGTCAACAGACAGCATCTACTCATGCGAATGAACAGGTCTTCAGATGAACCCAGCCCCAAGCGTTTGGCCCTCTCAGCTCAGTTCGCAGACATCAAGAAACATGGAGAAGCATTTGCCCTGAACATCTGCAATGTCCATTGTTACTTGAGCAGCTGGAGGGAATGACCATTCTGGAATAAATCAACTAAACCTTTGACCTGAGAAGCATTTCTGTGGATCGAATTCCCAATCCACAGAATCCACGAGTGATTGTTTCATGCCACTAGGTTTTGGAGCAATTTGTTCTGCACCCATGGCAACTATATTACCTCTCTAGGTTTCTTTGCACAAAAGAACACTGGACTGGAAATAAAGTGAGTAGCATATATTCCCATCTCTTTCCCTTAATAGCTGTTGACACTCACTAACTGTGTGAACTTGGGCCTGTCATTTCTCATCTCCAGGTTCTTTATCCTCCCTCCTGAAATATGGGGATGGAGCTGGATGATTTCTAAGACCCTAGGAAGCTTGAAAATTGTACCAACAGAGACTCTTTATGGAATGACCCAATTAAAACCATGTCAATTGATATGGCAAGAGGTGAACTTTTTAATTGAAATTCTTGATTTTTTGTTTTATCTTTCTGGGAGGTGAAATCAACTAAAGCCATTAGGAAAGTAAAAGGGCTCCTCTAATGCATAATTCATGAAAGGAAAGTGGGTTTGACCCAACAGGTCATTTGGAATAAAAATGCCATAAAAATAAAATATGTTATCCCTCCCCTTCTGCCCCCCCACCATCCCTTACACTAGCTAATGGAGGGGAAGAGTGAATTAAACTGGAGTTCAGGTCAAAGGTTTAGTTGATTTATTCCAGAATGGTCATTCCCTCCAGCTGCTCAAGTAACAATGGACATTGCAGATGTTCAGGCAGTTTTGTCCCCACCCTAGGGCCCTTGTCCTGAGTGATAAGGCCCCTCCTCCTTCCCTGGGGAGATGACCTCATTTTCTAATGGCCTGCCCAATTAGGAAGCATATGAGCCTAGCGAGAAGACACCTTGTCTGCTTCAAAAGCTTTGGGGAAATTCCCCAAAGGGCCAACCTGTTTCACAGAGGCAAAGGGAAAAAAAGTAGACAGCCTGTAATTAGTATAATAACCTGTTCAGATTCCACCTGCCTGTGATTTCCCCAGCTTGTTCATCCATTCATGTATTCATTCACTCAGGCAACAAATATTTACAGAGCAGCTGTGATGTGTAAGCCCTGGTGATACGACAAGTCCCCCAGAAGAAGCTAACGATTTGTGTGCAAGCGATTGATTAAGGAAGTGCTCCCAGGGGTGTCTGGCAGGGGGTGGGGGTGGGGGGAGCAGGACAGGGAAGGGAAAACTCCATTCAAAGGTTGATTTCAAGCAAAGTCCAGGCCTCAGCCCGATCCTTCAGCAAGCTCTGGAGTGTAAAGCATGCCTCAGAGTTTGTCCCAATTCAAAGCAAAGGTGCTAGGCTTTCAGACTTCTGCATCAGACAGTTACGGGTAAAGCCTGCCCTGGTAGAAATGTAAAGCCCAGGCATTTCTGACACTTCACGTGCAGGCAAAGGGGTTCCAGGAGCCTGTGTACAGCATTTTTTCCTCTTTTTTTAAGGCACAGGTACATGCTAGTAGAAGTAAAACAACAAAATAGCCAGGGGTAGACATTTTCCCACTCTGCCAACCTTCATATATTAGCATTATCTCACCTCATGGTTGCAAGATGACTCCAAACTTCCATCCCCTTACAACAATATCCAAAGGCAAGAAGGGTTGGGCAGGCAGCTAGCCCCACCCCTACATATCTGACTTGCCAGAGAGGAGCATTTCTCCAGTACACTTTGCATTGTGTCCTCTTTGTCAGAAGTGGGGCAATGCACCTTGTTTTGTTTTGTTTTTTTTCAGATGGAGTCTCACTCTGTTGCCCAGGCTGGAATGCAATGGCACAATCTCGGTTCACTGCAACCCCCACCTTCCGGGTGTAAATGAGTCTCCTGCTTCAGCCTCCTGAGTAGCTGGGATTACAGGCGTGCACCACCATGCCTGGCTAATTTTTGTATTTTTAGTAGAGATAGGGTTTCACCATGTTGGCCAAGCTGGTCTTGAACTCCTGACCTCAAGTGATCAGCCCACCTCGCACTCCCACAGTGCTGGGATTACAGGCATGAGTCACCACGCACAGCCTACAATGCACCCTTTTAAACCAATTCCCGCCAAAAGGGAATGGGATTACCATGAATAGTTTCCTGGATTGGGAAGAGGTCACCTTCTGTGAGCATCTTGCCCAACTCTTGATATCTAATGAGTATCAAGAGGTGGGCAAAAAACAAAAAACAAAACAAAAAGATACCTGATGGGTTCTTGTTATCAAGGAAGAAGAGGGGATAGCTTTTGGGTGAACAATGATCCATGTGTGCTACACTGGCCAATCAGAGCACCATGCTGTCTGGGCTGCAGTGATTGGTTCAGGATGGACATATTACTCAAGCCAAGCCAAACAGAGTTAGTCTTGGGAATTTTGCTGTAGTCACCAGGAAGAGGAGCTTACTCTTTCCTGAAAGCATCTGGGGCAAGAAACAGGACAGCCATAACAGCACCATGAGAACCCTGAGAATGACACCAACACAAAGAGAAAGATGAAGTAGATCCAAGAGAGGGAAAGAGATCAAATCTGGCTGGCTTATTCAGAACCCCTAAATCCAACCTAGCCTGAAACTAACTCTACCCTTGGGCAGAACCAAAAGTTCATTTTTGCTAGTTCACCTTGGTTTGGATCTTCTGTTTATTGTACCTAAAAGATTCCTAAGGAGTACAAGTGGCAAACAAGGTAGACAAAGCCTGTGCCCTTACGGAGTTCACAGTCAAAACAGGGAGACAGGTACTGGACAAAGAATTACAAGGACAATCTGGGTTACAAAGGTCAAGTACAGGGGACACAAAGACCACAAAATAAAGGGGCTAGCCTAGTGTAGGGATTGGAGAAGAGTCCCTGGGGAAATGTGGTTCAAGCTGAGATTGAAAGGGCAATGGTTGTTTCCCAGCATCAGACTCCAGTGTTACCCCTGACTTCACAGACGTAGCACGGGACAGGCACTCACTGGGGAAGCCTTCCTTGTTTCGTTAGGACCGTGCAACTGTTCCACACTCCAACACACCCCTCACTCTTTCATCCATTCTTCCAACACTCTAATTTGTTCAAGAGCTGCCAAGAATGATCAGATTTTTTCCCCCTGCACTCCTGTAAAAGCCTTTAGTTCCGGAGAAAGACTGTGATTTCTTTCATGTTTAGGAGTGTTTTCTTTTCTTCTTAGTTCCTTCCCTGTAAATGGGAGCAGTCAAATCGGTTCTTGAGGTAGGGAAGGGACCAAAAGAACTCCCAGCCAGGTGCAGGTCATCAGTGAGGCTGAGAGACACTGTAAGTGGGGAAGCCCTGCAGGAAATGTGGACCTCACACTCCCCAGATAGAAAAGTCTCTCTGGCCACTCTCTTCGAACCTCACCCAGGGATGTTCTCTGGCATCACGCACTGACTCGGAAGGGAGAACAGCTCTAGGTCCAAATGGCCCAGTGCCGCTGTGATCTCCAACAAGTCTCTGAGCTTCAGTCTCCTAATTTGCAAAATGGAAAAACTACGCTCTGAGTCGTACCTGCCTCAGAGGGCTTGGGGGCATCAAAGGTGATGCTGTGAATAGGCCAGGAAGCACCCTCCAGCATCCAGTCATGATCCACAGTCTCACACTTCCATTCGACTGGGGTCCTCAGGCCCGCATTCTCCAGCCCCAAGCACAGAGACCAAATCTCCCAGCTCTCTTTCTTTGGGGTCCATGCCACCCATCCTCCCATCTCATGTCTACCATGACAGCTTCCAGAGCTAGGCCCAGGACACATGTGCTAATTGGAAGGGTCACTGTTGTGGTCTGGTCTGCCACCTCAGGTTGGAAGACTTTTGCTCACAGGCTGTCACTTTCATGCTGGAGACTGACTAATCTGCTCCTTCAGGGTCCGACTTCACCTTGATTCCAAAATCAGTGGGTTCTTGGACCTTTGTCACTTTAGAAGACACCATCTATCTACCTAATGTATATGAGTAGCAACCCCCTAAAGCCAACTCCATAGCACACGACGGGAACAGGGCCCATGGAATTGTGCCACCCAGGGTAGGGCACCTGCAAGGCAATATTTCAACATAGTAACTCTGCCAAGCTACCCTTTGAGCCAGTGGGTATCTTTTTTTTTTTTTTTTTTTTTTTTTGAGATGGAGTCTCACTCTTTCGCCAGGCTGGAGTGTAGTGGCATGATCTCAGCTCACTGCAACCTCTGCCTCGTGGGTTCAAGTGATTCTCTTGCCTCAGCCTCCCAAGTAGCTGGGATTACAGGCGTACACCACCACATCCAGCTAATTTTTGAATTTTTTAGTAGAGATGGGGTTTCACCGTGTTGGCCAAGATGGTCTCGATCTCTTAACCTAGTGATCTGCCCACCTTGGCCTCCCAAAGTGCTGGGATTACAGGCATGAGCCACTGCGCCTGGCTGCCAGTGGGTATGTTAACACAGCAGGCCAACCTTGCAAAGCAACCTGTGTTAATCTTTAGTTGAAGATGGGCAGCAGGGTCTGGTCCTTAGACTGAAACCAGCTAGCTGGGTGGCCTTGGGCAGCCATGGCCTCCTCTCCTCAACTGTCCCCAGCTTTCAAACTGTTTCCAAAGCCCTTCAGCATTTGGAGACAGAAAGGAGACCTTCGGGGACTTATGGAACGCTGCACACACATCTACCCCCATCTCCCAACTTCAGACAGAGCAGCACCACTTTTTAACATTTTAGAAGTTGGATTCTGAATAAAAATTTGTCTGAAAGAAGTTTTCCAAAGAAGGAAAGAAGAGGAGGAATAATTAGGCTAGTGAGTTGCCACAGCTCATTCAACTTTTTTTTTTTTCTTGAGACGGGGTCTCACTCTGTTGCCAAGGCTGGAGTGCAGTGGTGCGATCACAGCTCACTGAAGCCTTGACCTCCTGGCTCAAGCAATCCTTACACCTCAGCCTCTGGAGTAGCTGGGATTACAAGTGCATGCCACCATGCCCAGCTATTATTTTTTTCTCTCCTGTAGAGATGAGGTGTCACTATGTTGCTTAGGCTGATCTCGAACTGCTGAGCTCAAGCAATCCTTTCATCTCGGCCTCCCAAAGGGATTACAGGCGTGAGCCACTGCACCTGGCCGGTTATTTCCTTTCTTACAGACTGGTAATCGAGAATTTCAGGAACATCCGAGTCCCATGTTCCTGTGATGCATTACAGGCAGGCACCACTGTGCCTGGTCCCTGTCCATTTTTTACACATGATGACTTACCCACAGCTGAGAATCTCAGACATATTTTTGTTCTAATGACTTCAAGAAGACAGTTTTTTCATAGCAGATGTTGAGTAAATGGATCCACTGCCCTTTTTTTTGGAAATGGAGTCTCACTCTGGTCACCCAGGCTGGAGTGCAGTGGCACGATCTCTGCTCACTGCAACTTCTGCCTCCCGAGTTCAAGCAATTCTCTTGCATCAGCCTCCCAAGTAGCTTG